GTTTCTCTCCACTATGAATTCTTTCATGACTGTGAAGATGACTTTTACTTGCAAAGACTTTACCACATTGATTACATTCATAGGGTTTCTCTCCAGTATGACATCTTTCATGACTGCGAAGATGACTTTTACGCATAAAAGCTTTACCACATTGATTGCATTCATGGGTTTTCTTTCTTTTATGACTTCTTTCATGAATGTTAAAAGCATTTTTACATGTATAGGATTTACCACACAGATTACATTCATAGGGTTTTTCTCCAGTATGAGTTCTTTCATGACTGAGAAGATGACTTTTTTGTGCAAATGCTCTACCACATTGATAAAATTCACAGGAGTTCTCTCCAGTATCACTTCTCTCATGTTGTTTAAGAATACTGGGATATGTAAAAGCTTTATCACATTGTTTATATTCATACTGTTTCATTATAGTATTTGTTCTAGGTAATTGAAGGTATGTATGACATGCAAAGGCTTTATCAGTTCGATTATATTCATAGGGTTTAATTTTCAAATGTGTTCCTTGCTGTAACTGTAATGGGCAATCAGATCTAAATGTTTTATCATGTTGTTTACATTCACAGGATTCCTCCTCTTTATGGGTTCTTTTGCATGTTTCAAGATACCTGTGATGGTTTAACCCTTTAGCACATGAGTTACATTCATCAGTTCCTTTTACCATATGAGTTTTTACACTTCTTTGAAGACAACTGTAAGAACCCCAAGCTTTATGACACTGATTGCATTTGTAACATTTTCCTATAGTGGGAATCATATTACATGTGCAACATGAACCAGTACAGACAGAAGAATTTCCAAATTCCTTGTACTCATAAACCTTTTCTTCAGTGTAAGAATGTTGGTGTATTCCCAGGGATGCTGGAAATCCAATAAATTCTACACTTGATTCACAATCACACTGTCTACTCATAGTGGTAACTACTACATATCTTTTGATTTTTCTGGGTGAGAGAGAGGTACCTATCTTCTTTCCAGATCCCTTATGCTCACATGGCTTATATCCAGAGTGACAGATGATATACCTGTTAAAGGAACAATAACAAAAGATTTTCACACTGCATTCACACAGTTTAACTTTTTGTTCCTCATAGAGATGTAGTACAGTGATTACATGCTGTGGGTTGGTCTGTATGCCAAATGTGTTGCTCTGATTGGTCAAAAAATGAAACAGATTGTCCAGTAGCCAGGCGGGAAGTACAGGCAGGCTTAACAGAGAGAATTGAGAGAACAGGAAGGTGGAGGGAGACACTGCCAGCCGCTGCCATGACAAGCAGTATGTGAAGATGCCAGTTAGCCACGAGCCATGTGGCAAGGTATAGATGTATAGAAATGGATTAATTTAAGATGTAAGCACTAGATAGCTGAGCCATTAGGCCAAACAGTTTAAATAATATAAGCATCTGTGTGCTTGTTTTATTAGTGGGCTGTCGGACTGCCAGGGTTTGGCGAGACTCAGACAGAAAATTCTCCAGCTACAAATGGCACCCAACATGTGGCAAGAGTTTCTACCTAAAACCTGAGAAAAAAGATTCTAAAACAGAGCTAAAAACAGTTCCTAATTGTCTTTCTCAAGTTAGCAGCAGCCTGCGTGTTTGAGGTACTATGGCAGGTTCCTGGCATGTGTGCTTGACCTGCAGTATGGCGGGAATGAGGCCTCTGCAAGTGGCACATTAAGCTGGGCCTCTACAAGTGGCACATTAAGCTGGGCCTCTACAAGTGGCACATTAAGCTGGGCCTCTACAAGTGGCACATTAAGCTGCATGGTGGATTTAGCCTTTG